CATCGCACCGTGGAAAATTTGTCTTCAAATTCTTTTGCAAGTGATATGTACAATTACCATGATGAGCAAATCGAAACACATTTCTAACTCCATTTTTTATGCACGTTGCACGGTCAGATATAATCACAAGGTCATCCGTATTACCTGTTATTAACCGCAACTTCTGAAAGAACCAAGTCCAGGATTCATCATTCTCCGAATCAACTACTCCCCCATGCGAGTAGAAATATTTGAAAATTTGCATCCTGAGAAGTTGCTACGAGTAGAGTACCTTTCATTTTCGATGTTAAGAATGCACCGTCTACAGAAATTACCTTTCGCATTGAGTTTACGAACCCATGTATACTTGGTCCCAATGCCATAAAAAGGTACTTGAAGCGCCGATCATCATTAGTGTGAATGAATGTCAGTGTACCAGGACTTTGCATCTCCAAAACATGACAATACGCTGGCAATTTCGTATAACTCTCGTGGGGTTTCCCACGAATCAGTCCACAAGCAAAATTTTTAGCCACGTACGCTTTAGTAGAGCTTACAGTTATGCCGAACTCTCGACGAATGTCATTAATAATGTCCCTTGGTCTGTAAACTCGGTTGACATCTTCATACTTAGGAGCGATGTGGTTTCCAATAATCATATATGAAGCATGCCTATGATCTCTGTGACGAACACTCATGGAGTAAGAATGATGACCATTGTACTTTCGAACTTCGAAAATGAGACTTTCTACGATCTTGGTTGCCCGTAAGCGCCACTTGCAATTTTCATCAATACAAACAATTGTATAAGTGCTCTTATTTGACTTCTTAACTTTGTACTCAAACTGGCACTTCACAGCTAGCAACTGTAATTTTGATATTAGGTCATATTTCGATGGAAACAACTGGTTGACTCGCACATCTAATCGTTCCAGAATTTTTACTGATGTCTCGTAATAGAGCTAACTTACACTTTCAGATACAATCTGAGTACATTCAACATCATTACCATTCACTATATCCCCACTGCAACGTTCATGCGTGCGTAACTCAAAATTATTGTCATCTGCCACAGGAGAATTAACTTCGTCATCTACCCTTCGGGGACTATCTTCACTTACGTCAAAACCATTGCAATCTACAAATATTCCATCACCATTGTCATCATTACCGTCGTTGTCTGTTCGATTTTGTTCCTCCTCGTTGTTCATATTTCCAATTTGTTCTCCACCATCTATTACTAATAAACATCCTTCATCACCAAAATCTTCCTGATTCTCAACAACTTTATTTAAAATACTTACACAAAAAAATTTTTTGTACAGGCAGATATAAGCCATTTTACATTGTTGTCACAATCAATTATGATTGGTGCAGCTGGAGCTTTAGACATTATCGGGACAAGAGCTGAAATCTCCATTTTGTATAGACTCATATCGATATTCAATGCCTCCTTAACTTTATCATATAGTTCCACGTAAGAAATTGTTTTTACAACAAGGATAGGTATTATATTCCCTTTGCCATTTCCATCCACCTTCAACTGTCTGCTCATATTCAATTGGATAACAAATCGATATCCATACCATGTCCATGGTGTCCATAACATGTAACTCAACATATAAATTTCATCAAATTTCAAACATCATACAGTATTGATAATGATATGTACGTTGTCATGGATTTCGGAAAACGATATCTATGTCGTTCATAATTTCATAAAACGATATGAATGTCGTTCTGTACTGAAAAAATAAAATACACGTTTCACGTGAAAACAATGTGAAAAAAGCCAATCATCCTTCACTACTTTACATTTCACTTCAATTAATACTAAGGAATACAAATAAGGGGTAATGAGAATAAGATTGGGAAGTAACCCATTTAAATATCCAATCAAATCATAAAATAAATTCAAAATCATTATTGAAAAATGAATACCACAAACACATATACAACAACATGAACGGATGATTTAAAACAATGGAGAAAGAAAGTGGCTCAAATATCAAAAATTTATCATACCCTCTCTTCTTCTCCAAATGCCCAATAAAAATATAGCAAAACTTTATTATTCACTTCAACCAAATGAATGTTCAATGGAATGAGAATGTAGATTTTGTGATTTCATTAAGTAGAGAAGAAGATGATAAGAAAATCAGCATGGAGGCATCTACCGTGGTTGAGTCGTTTATAGAGGAGGGAAGGAGATTAGAGTTGAAAGGAAATTGAAATGAAAATAAGGGCAATATCATCATTTCACATATAAGGATATTTTAGTCTTTTACAAATTCTATTTTCCATATTTAATAACTTTAGACCTTTCAACTAAAAGTCTTAATTCTTGGTCTTCTTGAACAAATGTTTAGTTTGACCAAGCCTTTTAAATAAATCCCCCATTTTTCAATGCAATAGAAGGGATGAATGAAATCAACTCAAATAAACCCAAATCAGAGCTACAAATGGATGAGAGTAGCCCTGGTTGAGGAGTGGGTCAGCGAGGGTAGTTAGGGTTGTGCTTGGTACAGGACCACAAGGGGCCTTGTATACCACGGTCGCTAAACTACATTTATCCAGGTAGTTAATACTAACACTTCAGTTATTCTGTGTCTACATAGTAATATTTGACAGAAATTTTTTGATTGCTCACATGACCCATGTGAGTAAAATATTATAAAAAAGTACCCTCCCACCCTTTCCATTGTGTATGCCCTGTATAATTCCATGAAGCCAATTTTGTATGCCAAGCGCAATTCATTACACTCTAAGCGGAATTGTTCTCCTGAGCACCGAAGACAAATAACAGTGACGTAATCGATTTTGTAATCAATCATTGTGTCTCACCAATTATTGTGTTGTGTCATGTCACCCAAATACTTAGTATAAGTTAGACATTAGTACTTAGGGTATCAATTCTGATACTTTGAGCATTTCATAAATAAAATCATTCATTGTCTCAATAATCACTAATTTATATACGTTATTTCGATTGCTCATTAAAGTTTTAGATATCAAATTTTGGTAACATAATTCATCAAAATGTTGAACGCTATTCATTAACATGACATCTATTTCACACTCCTAACAGAATTGGTGACATGACAAAAGGAATGTGCAGGTAGCACCCAAACACTTCTAAGCAAAATGCTACGTAAAAAATGTATTTTTGATTGCACACTATACTTCAAAGTAGTTGAGTTTTGGTCACTAAAGTATTAAAACTAAAATCGACATGTCTTGAAAATTTAGAAATATTGTTTCAAGTATCACTTTTACATATCTTGATGCTTGATCTCTCCAAACCATCTCTATTTACCTCAGGCATTATACACATTAAAAATTAACTTGGACAATCTACAATTTATCAGATAAATATTGACCAACATTTGTAGCTACTAATTAAAAACAAAACAATGAAGAGGGATATTCTAAAATAAAATGGCAAAAAAATATTTACGATTTTGATGACTAATTTTAACAAATATATGTATGATATTCATTCAAAAATCCATAATCTACATTAATATAAAACTTACATGTATCATTTGCAGCCAATATTTCTGTACAACCGAAAACATACACAAAAAATCATTAAAAATAAAGAATTATGAGCATCAATGAAAATATTTGCAGCTACTTTAAAAAAATAAAAAATAAATAAAAAATCCACCAAAATTCTGTCATCACTGAAAAAAGAAAGTCCATCCCTTCTCCTTTTATTTTTATTTTGTGTGTCTTTCCATTTTGTTTACCCTCCCATTTAGGAGCTTTGATTGGAGGAACATCGACAATTGACTATAAAGAAGAGCTGTTCTTTGAATTAAGTACGTTTTCATAGCTTAGGTAAGTATCCCCTAAAAAGCACCCATCCACAAAAAATTAAAGTTAGTTGTATGCAAGTAATACTTGGAGAATTCCTATATTTTCAAGACATGCCGAGTCAGTTTTAGTTTTGTAAGTTCAGTGATCAAAACTCGACCACCTAAAAACATAATGAGTAATCAAAGACATCATTAAAAATATATTAAGCAATCAAAGACATATTTTAAAGTATAGGAAGCCATCAAAGATGTTAAGTGACAATTTTCATAATGGTGTTTAAATGCCACCTATACATTGTCTATCATGTCACTAATTTTGTTAGAGTTGTGAAACAAATCTCGAGCCGTGAGTATCGTCCAATATTTTTCTAAGTTTAGTGACCAAAACGCAACATGTAAGGTTTAGTGAGCAGTGAAATACACAGACGGAAGTTTAGTAATTATTGGAACAATTAACTAACGGTAGTTAATGTAGTTTCAAAGTTAGATTTAAATACTTTAAACCTTTTTTCCACATGAAGACCTTTTTTTCGAAAAATTAAAGATATTGCTGTTAACTTTCAAGGAAATTAAGTGACGAATAAGAAACAAAGTTGAAAGTACAGGTACTATTCAATAAAATTATAAAGTTCGACAATTGTTTTAAAACTAATGGCTACTGGAATTTTTATCCCGCCTGAATGACAAGAAAATCAAGTCACATATAAACCCCAAACCCTTAAGTTCAACACTCATTTCAATGCATGAGGTAAAATTTGATCTTTTTATTCTTCAATATACGAAATCTCATAGCAATCTATGAAGTATTAGTTTGAATTCTATGGCCGAAGGTAAGTTTCCCATAAAAAGGATTACTTAGATTTCCATTTATTGTAACACAGAAAAAGGAAATGAAATTTGAGCGCAAAGAAAAATGTACATATGAGGATAGGGTAAAGTGACATAAATACTCGACAGGATGGGAGGGAATGGCCGACCCATGACCAATAGAAATGTGTTTTCTCACTAAACCTGGTGAAGTTTTTCCAGAACTGATTGCAACTTCTTCTTCAACAATATGTGCTAATCGACATCACACAAATTAAACTAATTCACGTTATTTAGAAATTTCTCTGCACGCTCTACAGTGAGCCTCTCGAAGTTTATAGCTCACAAACTAAAAGAGCAAAGATTTTGAATAATGCAGATGAAATTGGAAGATAGAGAACAAACCAGCTTTTTCATACTTGAATATAACGATCGTGTGATAAGCAAGGAATTCCATGTCTTTCTACTAAACATGGTGTATTGAACTCATAATTACCTACTATTTGTAAAACATACTACCTAGGGCTTTGGCTCAGAAAGACTCGGGTGTTCCAGATACAGCTGCAAACCAAGAGGTTCACTGCTCATGGACCTAATAGGAGTTATCACTGGAAGTTGCTGCCACTGCTTTGTGTCTGTTGGGATCCACATTTCTGTATCTTTGATGGTACTGGTCTGAGGCAGAGAGCGAAAATATGCTGTTATCTCCCATCTACAATCTGTCAAAAAACAAAAGCAAAGAGAATGTGCCAATATCTAAACATATATCCAAAAGAAGCAGAATGTATTAACAGTTCAGCGAAAAATACTGAAACAAATGATCACATTTTGCAGCCAAACAGTCAAATTGACATAATGCCTCTGTCTAAACAAAGCCAACAAATACCATGCATTTTGCTTATGTTCCCAAGTTAACCAACATCCTGGCAAACTTAAGTTGCAAGTAGTGCTCCTAATGTTTACATTGGATTAAGATTTTGTTAAGCCTCCAATCCATTTCATTTATGCTAGAAGAAACCAGAAGAATGGAGAACTCACTAGAAGGGATGTGTAACAACATTCGGTTAGGGAGCAGGAGAGAGGAGGGAAATTCTGTTAGGAAGAAATGTTATAAATAAGGGTAGGAAAGAATAGATAGGCAGGCAAATATTTGAGTGAGTGGTAGAGTGGTTTATTCTTGTTTATAGCCTTCTACAGGCTTTAAGTTCATTCCAGTTTCTGTAATCACCCGTTTTTAATCAAATAATCACTTATTCCGCAATTTAACTTGTTCTTTCCAGTTGGTATCCTAACAAATTGGTATCAGGGCTCATTCGATCCAATGGCGCAAAAGAAGGACAGCAGGATGGAGGCAATGGAAAAGGAACTAGAAGAAGTGAGGGGAGGCATGCAACGACTACCAATCCTGGAGAAATCGGTGGAAAATCTCAACCAAAATATGGTAAGGATTCTGCACTCCCTGGAGGAAACTCAGAATACTGTCGCAGCACTTGTTAACCCCAGAGCGGGGTTAGGGAAGAATCCGGAAGGAGAAGGGTCTGGTAGCATCATAGAGGACTCCGCTCCAATCAGTTCCACCCGGCAAGAAATCAGACGTGGCGAAGAAGTGAGATTAGAGCAGCCCAAGGAGGAAAACAGCTGGAGGGGAATTAGGAAGCTAGAGATGCCCATCTTCGCCGGCAAAAACCCTGATGGTTGGCTATTCCGGGCTGAGAGATACTTTGAAATCAATGGTCTCAACAAGAAGGAGAAGCTGGGCGCAATTGGAGTTAGCTTCGATGGCGACGCTCTTTCCTGGTTACAGTGGACGGAGGCAAGGACTCCATTTCATAGTTGGGACCAATTCTGGCAGCAACTACTGATGCGATTTAGGCCGACTCAAGAAGGAAACGTTTGTGAAAAATCTCTGGCGGTCAAACAAGAAGGGACCGTCGTCGAATTCAGAAGGAATTTTGAATCGCTGGCAGCACTGGTCACGGGGATCTCAGAGGAAGTAACGAAGGGGATCTTCGTTAATGGGCTGAAGCCGGATGTAAGAGGTTTTGGGCCCAAAAGGGTTGGGCCAAATTATGGATATGGCCCAACGCATAGAAGACCGAAATAACTTAATGAAAACAACAAGGGAGAGTCCGGCCCAAAAGACAAACAAAACACTGGCAGCTCCAAATCGCTGGGAAGGGAGGAAACCCGATTCATTTCCAACACGATCTATGACGATGGGAGAGAAATTGATAGCGCCAACCAAGGACCCGCCGGTCAAGCGTATGTCCGACGTCGAATGGCAGCTCAGG